ACAGTTGCCAAAAACAAAATAACAATAAAGCAACCCTTGGTTCGTCCCTATTTGAAATATACTAGCCCTGTTGCTATAGTGACCGCCACTCGCCAGACACCGTGGCGGGAGCTGTTCTTACCGTAGACAGACAGTAAATATCTTCGAGAATCAGACTCAAATGTAGAATATACATGAACTAATTTAAAAGCTTAAAGAATTATTTTTTTATTCAAAATTTAAATGACTGTATGAGCTCTCTCTCTCTCTCTCTCTCTATATATATATATATATATACATACTTTTGAAATAATTTGTCGGATTGAATTACATTTTTACAGCATTTTATAAATGTTCAAAAGGAGGAAGTATACTTATTTTTGACATTATTTTTAGCGCTTAAGTCATGGTGTCTATTGCCTCCTTGTCTGAAATGAACCATTTTTTGCTTCAATGTGTTTTCAGTTTTCACCTAGAAATTGCATAGTGTCCTGGCTTTATAAATGGTACTCTAATATTCACCGATCAACTTCATACAATTCTTTCAGTGCTAAACAACAGTGTGCAACCATGTGTTGTCTTAGAATAAAAACAACTGTTTCTTGAGCTGTATAGTCATTTTTATGGATCGAAACAGTTGATTTTATAAGGTTGTTTATTTCCTGCTGACAATTTCACAATATTGATATTGGTAGCCATAGTAGATGGCCTGCCAGAACGAGCTTGCTAATCACTTGCATGTTATATGTGTAGTGCCTACATTATAGAAATGTAAAAATATGGCTAAATGTTTTACTATTGCATGCAAGTGGTAATATCTCAAGTGTTTCATTACTACTGTTTTTAAGTGTAACATAAAACTCAGTCAAACTTACATTATATTTTTGCAAAGAGTTTTCTTTATCGTGACAAAATGCGTTAAGTGATACCTGTGACATCGTGACTTGCTATGACTAAATACTTAAGGCCATAGCTAGTTCTCCGTGTACAAGTTCGGACATATCAGTATATGATTTTCATAAGATGCAGAAGTTTACAGAATCTAGTATCAGAAAAAAAGAAACAGAGGCGGTCTTGAAAATTTTAATTTGCCATTGTATATTTCTTTAAAATAAAAAAATAGCAAATTCTCTGCAAAAAGTTTGCTGAATAGGGAATTATTGTGTTATTTTTTTTTTTAATTTAGGTAAATTATAATAATAATATTGGCTGAATGTGAATTGCTATTATTATTTTTTTTATGATGTGATAATGCTTAATATGTAAAATCTAATTTTGTTAGATGAGTTGACATATTTTAGGTAACAAAAATTAGCCAATCTTTATTTACATGTAACATGAGTTATCGTCAAAGGAAAACAGTGCATTTGATTGGAATGTAATTAATTTTCATTTCATGATATATCATGAAATGTGCTTTAATGATTTATTATTATTATTTATTAGATTTTATTGTAATATCAGTTCTTGTGTTAAATAAGTGTGGTTTCTTTGGTTAAGAAACATTACCAGTTCAGAAGATATTTTCTGTAATATAAAGGGTGTGTGATAAATGTAAAATTTTAGAGACTAATAAAATAATTTCTAGCAAATTTGTTAAGAAAATTTTAAGAATTTTCTGCAAATTAGGCAAAACTTACAGAAACTACTTTTTTAATTGTTAGAAATCCAGATTTTCTTCATTACAAATGTGTAATGAACAGTGAAGTAAATGTTTCATTGTTCTGTAAAACAAGCAGAAGAAAATTCTTGGCACAGCACTTCTGTATAATTGGTGCCTCTTGTAACTTTGTTTTTAGTTATATATTTTATTCATTGCCCTGCATGTCTTACCTTTGCTACTTCTCTGTAAAAATGTGCCAACTTCTCCTTTTCTGATTTATTTCAATAGCTTCATGAAAACTTCACATTTTTCCTTCACCAAGCTTTATAAAAACTCTCTATAAGAACTTAAATAAACATTATTAAGTAAATAAAACAAATTAAATATTAAAAAATATATATAATACATGAACATTGCCACTTTTTGATAAAACTTGTTTTATTGTTTTGCTGCTGATTCAGTTATATTTTTACAGAAAAAATCTCTTTGTTCTTCATGATAATTTATTCAATATTTTGAAATATATTTATTGTCTTGGTTGAATGAATTTTCAGTAAGTAGTCTTTTTTTTTTTTTTTTTTTTTTATTTTTTTTCTTATAAAAATTCTTTTAGCTCTGAAATTTCTTTCAGACATTTTGTAATGTTTCAAGTTTATATTTCCTCTGTCATTAAATCAATATCATTACTTTGAATTTGTTGCTTTGTATGTTTATATAAAAGATATTTTTTTAGCTATATTTGAGAGCTTATTTGTAATTCTCTTTCTCTGATTCTTATTTTATTGTTGTGAAATTGCAAATTTACTTATGATAATGGAAAAGTATTACATTGAAAGTATTACACAATATATTGATTTTGTGCTGCATACAAATTGTTCCTTTCTTTTGAAATTAGTGTAATTGTATGTTTCAGTATTAATATTTCTTGAAAATTTTAATAATTTCTTTCATTTCTAAGATTTACAGAGCACTGAGTGTATCCTACTGGATGTATACATGCATGTGCATAATATGTTAATTTTGAAGCTAATATGTAATTTCTATTTGATTTTAATGTGTATTATTTTGAATGATATTTGAAATAAATGGTTGCATTTTTTTAGTTCATTTTTTTTTCCATGAAATTCTCAATTATGCAATACATTTAAAACTTATGTGTATCATACTAAAACATATGTTTTCAAATTTTTCCCATGTTTAACTAAAAGATTAAATAGCAGTAGTATTAAGTTAATGCTAAGTATGTTATATTTTAAGTACATTATAAATAAAATATCCTTTTTAGGAAATAATGTTCATTAAATTGTAAAACTGAAATATTTTCTTAAATTAGTCTCAAGAATTTAATGTTGATACTTATAATTAGCTATTTAAAATTATCTGTATTTTTTAAAATGATAATTTGACTTACATATACAGTCAAAAGTCGTTAATCCGTATTCGTTGGGACTTCGGCGATTCCGGATTATTGATTTTTCCAGATTATAGATCATCAGTTTAAATCTCGTAAAATGGCATGCAGAAATTATAAAATTAAAAATATGAAACCTTAATTTACAAAATAAAGAACAATTATGATCTAAAGGTTATCAAAATTTACAAAAAAAAAGCTTAATATTTATTTGTTTACTTTATTAAACATTTCTTTCAATGTAAGTTGTTTAAGTTGCTTCGTTTTTTATGTGATAATACATTCTCTTTAATTCTATAAACAGACATAATTTCTTGTTCAGTTACAAAGTTCCGCTGTTCAAGTCCTATAATTGCTGTGTCGAGAATACCGACTAATTTGTCAATCGAAATTTTTTCGTTTTCAATAACCTCTGTCACTTTCTTCGCTATCGGAAGCGAATTATAATGACGAGGATTTGATTTAAATCATATCAAAGACCGAGATGAAATACTACATTTAGTAAGCAATTATAAGCCAAATAAAATAAAAAACATCTGCTCTGAAGATAAGGATAGTGCTGACAGATCAACTTCCAATTCATTGCACGCCACCGCGGCGTTAAAGATAAACAAAGGATATGCTTTTATCTATTTTTTGCAGCAATTCCACATTTTGTTTAATGGACTCCGAAAGATACTTTCGCTTTGTATATCCTTTACATATTAGTAAATATATATTGGAAATTCTATTTGACATAATCGTTCAAGCTTACTTTTACTTTATAAGTTACTTTTACTTTATAAGTACTTTTATAAAATTGCTCCAACAGTCTGCAAAAAATAATAATCCGGATCCAATTCGAAGATTAAGGAACAACGCAATCTGCAACATTAACTGAAATAGATAATTAGATAATTTTAGCTTAGCTATCCCGTCCGTTGTACATTAAACGCGCATTCGTAAACATAATTTGCGCACAAATTCGCAGCGATAAAGGTCTTACGTATGCGTCAACGCGACGCATGTGCAGAAAGTTTGTAGCTTTGAGATCCGGATTATGGGTGTCCGAATTAACGACTTTTGACTGTATTGGGTATATTAAATGTAAATTTTGCTTTCAATGTATGATCCATAGTTAATGATTTTAATTTACTCTGCTCTTGTCAGACTTTATTATAGTTAGTGATGGCAAATGTTTAAAAATCTTAATAAAGTTCATATTTCTTTTATTAAAGGCTAAAAATTACTTCTTGTCACCATGTACTTATTAGCTGATTCAGTGAAACTATTTTTAGTACAATGTGCAGTTTGAAGGCATTGAAATTTAAAGGGTATAAGTATTTTCATTTTTAAAAAAATTATTTGGAAGGGAACTATTCTGATTTAAAATAATTATTAGTGCGATGAAGAGTGGACAAACTATTTTGTGCTGTTATTATGGTATAGAGAAAAAAGTTCACTGTATATAAAAAATGTAATGTTTTGGTATGAGAACCGTAAATAATTTAAAATAGAGGACGATCTTATTTATTTTCCGTTTTGTTAGTTATTTTTTATTTTAATTTTGATTATATGTTTAGAGAATTGTAAATTTTAAATTTGTGTTCGTTCTCAGATTAAATTGCATACTATTAATAATTCATCTATGAATTTTCGGTTTATACAATTCCTTTTCTGCTTAAAAATCTTAGAAGCCTTATGTCATTAAAGATTATACTGCTGCATGCTTCTTGTTATCATAATTGATTTAATATTTGTTCTCTCTAATTATCTTTCCTTCTTTTTTTTAATATAAAATCAAGACATGTAAATTAGAAATATTTTCTCTCTAAAAAATTTCTCCAAGTTCTGATAGAGTGGTATAATGCTTTATTATTTATATTAGATTTATAATAATTTCTTAATTTAGCAATATATAGGGTATTTTTAATTCTTTTTATAAAAATGGATATATATTTATGATTTTATAAATGAAAATTTTTTTTTGTGTGTATGTGTAATTTTTTTTCCCTTGTTTTAGGAGACATGCTTTTGCAAGAATCTTTAATGACTCTCACTTTCAGGAATTTGGCAAAGTCTCTAGGAAACAAAGATCCAGTGGAATTGTTAAAATGTGGTATGTGCAATTATACAACACATGGGAAACAACAGTTTGATATACATTGTGCTCGTCATTTACGTCAGCATAAGTTTAGTTGTGATTATTGTAAAAAAGGTTTTGTAACAAAAAATGAAGCAATTGTTCACATGCGTGTTCATACAGGTGAAAAGCCTTTCTCATGCAAAATATGCCAGAAGAGTTTTCGTCATAAACACACTCTAAATGTACATCTGAGAACTCATGCTTGCAAATATTGCAACACAACATTCAGTGATAGAAATAGTTTGCGCAAACATGAGTCAAATTGTGAAGAAACATGCAAATAAATCAGGGTAACATATTTTGTAGAAGTATATCTGTAAATGCTGATTGTTTAGTTAATGTTTGACTTCATTGTGTCAAATATAATAAATAGTGTGACTATAAAATAGGCATAGTCACTTTAAGCAAATTTGTGATCATTATGATGTAATGTAATGGTTGTGATGTTTGTGAATTTTATTTAATTTTTTATATCATAGAAAATATTTTATAAGTATTATTGTCTTTATTTATTTTCATTTCCTTTTTAAAAAGAGCTTATTTTTTTTAATATTTTATTGTCATGTAAAATTTTAGCTTTGATTAGTATTATGGATATATTTATATGCAATTACAGTATTCAAGTACAAATATATAGTGCATTTATCTGGGTAACTATGCAGTTTTTATGCTAGTGTACAAATATATTACCCCTCCTTTAGAATATAGATCTGTCATTACTTGCTTACTTTGACATAAGGCCTATTCTCTACTTTAATTTAACATATTTAATTTTGATACTTTCTGATTATACACACCCTCACTATAAAGTCATAAACTTGTTGCTAACTTTGGAGAGTATTTCTGAACTTCCGCAAATGATTTTTCACCAAGCTATTGCTGGAAAAGCAACAGTCGTTTTCACAGTGATCATATAGTAAGAAGTCTACATACAAGCAATCAATCAATAAAATTTGGAAAACAAGAAAAGCTGGTAATAAAGCACTTACTTTTTTTGAGAGATCCTTGTTTTTTGCACATTTTTTCCTCATGTTCATAGCAATTCTGTTTTTGCTTAAAAGAGAATTAGAGAATTTCACATCCTGAGCATCTGTAAACTTTGCTATCACATACCAGCCAAAACAGATATGTGCTGTACTCATACCAGGATGCATATTCTACAATCACTGGATCTCATCTACTGTAGTGCTTATAATATTGACTCAAAACAACAGGTAGCATCTGCCACCTCCAACTTTACAGAGAAAACCATTCTGTGGTCCTTGTTTGAGGTTGGGTCCATTTGACTTCAGAGGAGAGTAGTCTTGAAGCAGCTTTAGAAAAATCATAATACAGACAAGTGATGCAGTTTATAGAGCATAAATTAAGTTCTAGGAATATTTATTTGACTGCATTTCTGCATCGGTTTGCTGTGGACAGGGCATCATTTTGCTGTGGCGTAGCTAGAGATTATTTTGCCACTTGGAGCAGTCACTGAATTTATCATCCTTCTTGATATACATACAAATAACTAAAAAAAAAAAAAGACATACTGGGAAACCAATTTGCATTTATTTTTGAAGAAAAATTTTAATTCCAATGTATTAACATTATCTCTCTCTTTTTTGGAGCTCGATGACATTGTAAAAATCTGCATGATTACTCCAGTTTCTATAATGTAGGCAGAAAGAAGGATTTCTAAAATGTGTAAACATTTATAGGTTTTAAGTACTTCTTACATGCAAAATAAGTATTTTTTGCTCTAAAATACTTTAAAAGTGATTTTTATTTAGAAAATTCTTCTCACAAACAGCAGCGCTTACAGTAATTTTAACAAAAGTTTGCAGTAATATTGTAATATTTGAAACTTATTGTAGAGATCGTTTTTTAGAATGAACTGCAAAAATTTGAAAGGACTGCACTCCCACGTAACATGAAAAATTGCTCTGCTAGTAATAAACTGACTGAATGGCAAACAAACGAAAAATCATATGTATGTACTAGTGATATAATCCACAAGCAAAAAGTCATAAAGCACAAAATACCTGCTTAATGAAACGGTATATAAAATTAGCAGTTAAGATTTATTAATCTAGCATTATTTGATGAATTTATAACCACGCGGTATCTAACAAGTCCAATGAGTTTAAGTTGATAACGTATGGGATTGGCTTTTTATATATAAGTTAATTCCAGGAAATTTTTTGTACGACATATTGTTTATGTAATCGTATGTGTTAATAGTTTCAGGGAATTATTGCATTCCTCTATGCATGGTAGGAGTAGTTGTCCCTTTCAGTTGACAAATGGGAGATCTGCGGTTTTAATTCTGACATAAATCCATTGATTTCTCACATAATGGATATGACAAAAATTGAACTTTACGCTAGCACCAGAAGTAAAATGTGAATCAGATTTGGTTGAATCAAGTTAATGGCTTTCCCCAGTCACTCTTTAAGTAGGGAAAATTTAAAAACCTATCAAATTCCCCCATGCATACTCTCATGGTGTAAATGATTAGCAAATTCAACCAGCAAAGGATTTTTGTAATAGAGGATAAATGCACAACCAGCATTTTATCATTTTGACATATTAAAATGGCATATGTAGGTGCATGTCTGTATGTATACATCTAATACTATAACAGAAAATTGTAATAACAAACAGCATCTCTTTTACAATATGAAATTGATAAAATATGCTATAAACAGTTAATTCTTTTTTTTTTTTTTTTTTTTTTTTTTTTAAGTTTGCAGATAAATAATTATTTTTAATACTAATAGATTAAAAAATATTTTAAAAGGTATTATAAAAGTATTTTGTGGACTGATATTTCAGTCAAGTAGCAAAGTTTGAAATCTACTGATATGTCTATAATTCATTACTATTACTAAGTCTGTTTTATTATATGTCAAATTATCACAATTTATTTTTAAAACTCATGCCTCTCTCACACTGTTAAAAATTTTAATCATTTATTAATTTACCAGTAATAAGTAATGAATCCATTTGAAAAACACAGTGACCATTTATTCTCCTGGTAGTCTATAAATATAGTGGAATATAGTCACTAAGTCTTTTAAACAGATTCATTATTTCAGTCCCCTCCCAGAAAAAATACTAAGAGTAACACCCCCTGCAAGAATTATAAACAGCTTTTAATTTAAAATTGGTGACATCAATATTTTATTAAAAAAAAATATATTAACTATCAGTAATTAGTTAAATCATAATGAGGAAAACAAATAATAATTATGAAAATATTAATTACAAAAATTTTATATTTTATAGCTTTCTAATCCTCTTAAAATATATATAAATATATAAACATATATATATATATCAGGAATGTAAATTTCATTTAATATTGGAAAATGTTACTATTGGGTTCCTACTATTGTTTGTAAGGCTTATTGTTGTTAAGGGCTGTTATGTTTCAAAATCGGCTTAATGTTTGTTGACCATAAATTGGTTAGATTCTTCTTGAATGTCTGTATATTATTAATTGATGAAAAATATGTGCTAGAAAAATATTTTACGGAAAACTGAAGAAATATACTCTCTTATATTGTAATTCAGAAAAAATGTAAAGAGCCTGCCTCTGTTTCAGTACATTCCTATTTTCTGAGTGTGACTCCAAATACTCTCTCAGCTCAGCGCATATTATTATGACAATAAATTTCGGCAGTCTCAAGTATTCAGTAAAGACATTTCTGAAAAGAGCATATGCATTGTCATGTTTTCAATAAATTCAATGCCAATTTAGAGATCTGCCACTGTATTCTTCCTTTAAATATGAAACATTAACGGTGAAAATACATGCTGAGACGGGATCAGCTTTTACAGCCAACTTGTACAAACCTGATTTATGATGCGGCAACCATTTTCTCTATGTTTTCAAACAATTCTGTACTTGCAGAATAGGCAATGTGACTAAAGCTGGTTTTCACATTGAACATCTGGCGGCCATTAAATTGATGATGAATCTTGTTGCGTAGAATATGCATCCTGGGTTGCCAAATAAATGCTTTTGGGTAAATCTTAGGGTTATTGCTTAGGAATGTGCCATTCATTCCCAAACTCATTCAAAGAATCAATTTGCTTTACTGAACGAGCAAATAATGAAACTAGTTTATAATGAAAAAACGGTAGCTTTTATTGTAGTTCACGTACTGAGAATTCTTGTTGGATGTGTGCCAGCAAAATTTGATTCTTATTTAAGAGAAAAAATTAATTTTAGCCTCCCATGGTAAAAATGAGTTTAATTTTTGTCATTTCACAAATTTTTGAATATTTTTAAATCCAGAATTTTATTATGAGTTCTGTATAGAAAGAAGATTTTAGAGACTTTCAAAACTACAGTTGAAAGAAATCAATTAAATAAGTTAGCTGTTCAGTTGAACCAATCCTTCCAATCCCACTGCTCATTCTGTTGGTTTTTCTTTTTGTTTCATCATTACTCACTGCTCGTGATTCTCTCCTCATTGCCAATCTCAGTCGTGAAAATTGTTAGTGAACAGTAAGTAGTAAAAAAGAACTGATTCAGTTCAGTGAGCAAATGTTTCTGATCTGATACTAGAACAGAACAGTTTTATCCACCTCTGAGCCACATTAATTATCTTGAGGACATACTGCTTTGCCTCGGGAATGCTTTTTGTTGACTTTCTGACAGGGTGCAGATAGACAGGGCATACTTGAGTTTCATTACTCAAGTTAGATTATTTAATATGTGTTGTTTGAAGGATACCTTATTTATTTATTTAAGATTATCCATAATTGTTAAGTTTCAGAGAAGTTGATTAAATGTAGTGCAATTTTTTATGAAAATGTAATTAAAATTAGCTATTTTTTAATATCATGTTTACTCAAAAATAAAACCATCCTTACATTTTAGTATAAATTTTAAGGAATAATAATATAAGTGACTATTTATTTGTCTTGCAGTATCTCTGAGAAAGAGAATCTGTGTGATTTATTTAGCATTTTATAGTGTAATTATTTTATATCCATGATAATTAAATTCCTTCCTATCATTCAGCAATTTCATTTGTCAAAATATCTGCTTATAAGATCCTATTAAATTTCAGAACTTAAATATAGCAGAAGGAGTATCATATTTTTGAGTAAATAGTGTGTTATTTAATTAACATATTGTTTTATTCACATTTCATTGGTAAATTTATGATAAGTGTATTTTTAAAATTAGGCAAAATAGTAGCCTTATTTTGGCATAGCTTTAAATTAAAACTCCATTAATTTCAAAGGTGATCAGACACAGGTCTTTCTTCTATAGATACAAAAATTTTTACAA